AGCATTCTCCAATGAAAGTTGAAAGGGAGTCACCTAGATTTTTAGAAAGAGTTCAAGGTGATATATGTGGACCGATTCACCCACCATCTGGACCATTTAGATACTTTATGGTCTTAATAGATGCATTCAACAAATGGTCTCATGTTTGCCTATTATCAACTCGTAATATGGCATTTGCAAAATTTCTTGCCCAAATTATTAAATTAAGGGCACATTTCCCTGGTTATACTATCAAAAGAGTGAGACTTGATAATGCTGGTGAATTTACTTCACAAGCATTTAATGACTATTGTATGTCTGTAGGGATTGTTGTTGAGCATCCAGTTGCTCATGTACATACACAAAATGGTTTAGCTGAATCACTGATTAAACGTCTCCAACTGGTAGCTAGACCATTGATAATGAGGACCAAACTTCCTGTATCTGTTTGGGGCCATGCAATCTTACATGCTGGATCATTGATACGCATGAGACCAAGTTCATATCATGTATATTCTCCACTACACTTGCTTTTGGTCAAGAACCAAATATATCCCATTTGAGAATTTTTAGGTGTGTAGTATATGTCCCTATTGCACCACCTCAACAGACCAAAATGGGTCCTCAAAGAAGGTTAGGGATATATGTTGGTTTTGAGTCAGTATCTATTATAAGATATCTTCAACCGTTAACAGGTGATGTTTTTACAGCACGCCTAGCAGATTGCCAATTTGATGAGGCAAATTTCCCATCATTAGGGGGAGAAAAGAAGATTATGGAAAAAGATGTGCCATGGCATGAGCCTTCTTTATCATATCTTGACCCTCGCACAAAGCAATGTGATATGGAAATTCAAAGGATAATGCATTTCCAAGAAATGGCAAATCAATTGCCTGATGCATTTACTGACACAAAAAGAGTGACTAAATCATATATACCGGCTGTCAATGTTCCAGCTCGAATTGAAATTCCACATGGACAATCTGATGATAAAGTCACTCAAGATTCTAAAACACGCCTGAAGCGTGGAAGACCATTTGGTTCTAAGGATAAGAACCCACGAAAAAGAAGAGGATCAGAAACTGCACTGGATCATGAGGAAAGTGTTCATGGAGAGTCACGAATTATTCAAATTCCCCCAGGAAAGGAGGATGATGCACAAAATTATGGTCAAACAAATAGAATATGTGACCAAAATGAAACTGAAAATATAAGTACAATATTTACTTATTCAGTTGCATGTGATATTATGAATGATGATCCCGAACCACAATCTGTCATTGAATGTCAAAGAAGAAGTGATTGGGCTAAATGGAAGGAAGTTATGCAAGTTGAGTTAAATTCTCTTAACAAGAGAAAGGTTTTTGGGACCATTATCCTCACACCTGGAGTTGTGAAACCATTAGGGTATAGATGGATCTTCGTACGAAAAAGAAATGAGAAAGATGAAATTGTAAGATACAAGGCTAGACTTGTTGCTCAAGGTTTCTCTTAAAGACCTGGAATTGATTATGAGGAAACTTATTCACCGGTAATGGATGCAACCACCTTTAGATATTTAATTAGCTTAGCAGTCTCTAAAAATTTAGAGATGCGTCTTATGGATGTTGTTACAGCTTACTTGTATGGATCACTTGATAGTGATATCTATATGAAAATCCCTGAAGGATTTAAAATGCCCGAAGCATTAAGTGCAAAACCCAAAGAAATGTATTCTATAAAATTACAAAGATCTTTGTATGGGTTGAAGCAATCTGGATGCATGTGGTACAATTGTTTGAGAGATTACTTGACAAGTAAAGGTTATAAAAATAACATTATTTGTCCATGTGTATTTATTAAGAAAACAACATCTGGGTATGTGATCATAGCTGTCTATGTTGATGATCTAAACATCATTGGAACGAATAAAGAAATCCTTGAAGTGATTGAACTTTTAAAGAAAGAGTTTGAAATGAAAGATCTTGGAAAAACCAAATATTGTCTTGGTTTACAGATTGAGCATATGCCTAACGAAATACTTTTACATCAATCAAATTACACAGAACGAGTATTGAGACGTTTTAATATGGACAATGCTAATCCTTTAAGCACTCCAATGGTTGTTAGATCATTAAATATTGACAAGGATCCATTTCGTCCATGCGAAGAAAATGAAGAAATCCTTGGTCCAGAGGTACCATACCTTAATGCAATTGGAGCTCTTATGTATCTTACCAATTGTACTAGACCTAACATTTCTTTTGCTGTAAACTTGCTAGCAAGATTTAGTTCAGCCCCAACAAAAAGACATTGGAATGGAATCAAACATATTTTTCGATACCTTCGAGGAACTAGTGATTTAGGATTATTTTATCCTAACAATTCAAAACAAGGTTTAATTGGTTATGTAGATGCAGGTTATTTGTCTAATCCTCATAAAGCTAGATCTTAAACTGGATACGTATTCATGAATGGAGGTACTGCAATTTCCTAGCGTTCTCAAAAGCAAACACTTGTTGCCACATCCTCAAATCATGCTGAAGTGATTGCACTAAATGAAGCAAGTAGAGAATGTACATGGTTGAGATCGATGACACAACTAGTTTTAACTTCATGTGGACTTGAAAAAGATATAGGTCCAACTTTGATATATGAAGATAACTCAGCATGTGTCACTCAAATGAAAGAAGGATATATCAAGAGCAACAGGACAAAACATATACCTCCAAAGTTTTTTGAGTACACTCAAGAGCTTATAAAGAATCATCAAGTTGAAATCAAATATGTTCAATCCAGCAACAATGTAGCAGACCTTTTTACGAAGGCACTTCCTACTACAACCTTCAGGAAACATGTACATGGCATTGGAATGCGACATGTGCATAGAATATAATGCAACAGATGTATAAATAAGGGGGAGTCAACTATACACTGCACTCTTTTTCCCTTCGCTAAAGTTTTTTCCCACTGGGTTTTCTTTAGCAAGGTTTTTAATGAGGAAGTACTTCAAAACTGAACTCTAAATTAAAAATGGTGTCATCCAAGGGGGAGTGTTGTAAATTATTGAATGACACCAATAATTGGTGAATTGGTAAAAGATATCATGTCATACTATTTATATTACGTATGATAGGTAGTTTTGTTGTATATATATAACATGCTCTTGTAAGAATAAGGTGCAACAATTTCACAAAAGATAAAATATCTGATATCTTTCTAAATCTTCTTCTCCATCAAGTTTCTTTACGTATGTTATTTTAGTTTATTTTTTAACATATCTTAATCACGTTGAATTCATAACAATATATATATATATATATATATATATATATATATATATATATATATATATATATATATATATAATTGTGATTATTTTTTTTTAAAATGATTTGATTTTACTTCTTATATAATGCAATAAATTTTCTTTATTAAAACTACTAGGAGTGGACAACGCTCACTTCTGTTATTGGGGCTAATAACGTCTAATAATACCCAAGAACATAGCCTCCCTTCACCGTTATTAGATGTTAAAGGCATGTGCGTTACTTCCTGTTGCCACCACCACTTTCCATTAACGTTGTTTTTTTTTAATAAAAAACGTCGGTGTGGTCAACCGGCCTAAACAAGAGAGTATACGGTCTCATCAAACAAATTATCCAACCAAAAAAATAAAAGAAAAGTAGTAGTTAATAAAGTTTTTCTTTCATAAATAAATAAGTATTACATTATGTTATAGATCTTAGTTTCATCTTTGTATAATCTTTTAAATCTTATACAAAAAATAAAAACAATATCGAACAAAAAAAATTGTATACAATATGTAAAATGCATCGAATCATGTGTACAACGTACGATTATTGTGTTAAATTAACACGTTAGAGCAAAATAAAAGATAATATGATCAACATAAACAGTAGCGAGTCTAGAATAAAAAATCACGTAGTTTCGTAACCGAGTTCAATCATGTCAATTGAAAAGAAAATTAGGTTTAGTCGGGTCGGTTCAACAAAAAAATAACTAGTTTAATATATATATATATATATATATATATATATATATATATATATATATATATATATATATATATATTTTGGTGTTGAAAGGACAAGCCCAAATCAGTATTTCTTTTATTTTTTTTTAACTAAAACAAACTTATACATAATGCAATTATGTCATGAACTTCTCTTATAATTTTATATTCTGTTTGTTTGTTGTTATCTTTACTGTTTATTTAATATTATATAATCTAAATCTGTGAGATAAAGAAACAGTCCGACCTTTCTACTATGTTAAAACTTGTAGAGAAGACTGCTGACCTTTACTTTTCACATGATGTTAACATAACATTAAGATTCTTTTTTTTTTATAAAATATAACATGTGTTTCATTTTTATCTTTTCAGTGCAAAACCGTTTAATGAATTGGATGATGAATCAAAGCTATTTGCTCTTCCAAATGATGAGAGATTAGTTGTTGGTATACTTGGAGCTATTTTTGAAAAGGTATAATTTCATTTGGTTTTAATGAAATTCATGCATAAATTTCAAATAACGTAAGTAATTAAGAATTTAATTTAAGCAATTAATAATTTAATTTTCTAAGTAACAATTGAATATAACATTTTATCCTTTCATATAATCCATATTATGTAGCAAGCGATGCCTTTTGTGTAACTTATAATCAACTATCAAAATAAAGTGGTATGTCAAAGAAATTTATATGTAAAAGTAAACATATAAGTAACAGCTTAATAATAAATAAGAATGTAATTTTTCAATAAGTTGTAAGAATAAGGCAATGTATTCTAAAAAAAAGTTGTTCAAATACTATAAACAAAATAAAACAGCAAACGATAATATAGGACTTATAAAAAAAAAACCCAATGTACTTTAAAGAAACATATATGAAAACCATCAAATGACAAGTAAAAAAACATTCAAAAACAATTTTTTTCAAAAATGTAAACGACTTAGGAGTCTATGATGCGGAAACCAAAATGAAAACGAACAAAGATTGTTTGTAGAAGTAAGATCCATTTACTTTTCTTTCTTGGGTACCAAAAGAGGCGTTGGTTGTTCATCTGGTGGTGACAATCGAGCACTTTTAGAAGTAGAAAAATTCTCCATTTCATCAAGATCTATGGATGTAGCAAGGTTTCTTTTCAACTCATTTGGTGTGGAAATCAGCTTTATATGACTTGTTGCAGTTGACTTGTCTATAGCAGATGGTGTTAAATTTTCACCTGTCTGCGAAAAAGAATCCTATTGTATTTTTTAGTTAGTTGTTACACATTAAAACGAAATATTTTACACATTATAATTTTAAAAGTACAACCTTAAGAACTTTGGTGTCTTGGGAGGTAATATCCGAAGTACCAATAATGAATGAATCAGAATTGGCAGGCTCCATAATATCAAAACAAAATGTTATAGATTAAGATATAGTTGGGTGAATGTGGTAAGAAATAAATATAAGTGTTGAAAAAAACCTGTGGAATAAGATTCTTTTTTTCCAGTTCATCAATTATTTCTGCATTCTCAGTTAATCTTGTTATCCCATAATGTTACTTTTATTATCCACATTGTAACTTGTGATAACAATTATAATTGCCAACTTTTTGTCCACCGCAACTTTCAACTTTATTGGATACAAATCCAAATTGTTGCCAAGCTAAAATATAAATAAATCATCTTAGAAAATTTGTATGTAAAATATATAATGTATAAAATTAATAAGTAATTAACAACTATGAAATAATACCTTCTTGTTTTTATCATACAACTCTTTAGCTGTGTATTTGAATAACTTCTTTGCTTCTTGATCAAATAAGGTTAAAGTCAAGGTTCCTGTGTTGTCTTGAACCCGAAGTGAGATTTTAAATCTAAATAAAATATAAAATTATATTACATTACACAAATATGATAAACATAAATCGTTATTATGTGTAATAAATATGTAATACCTTGGAATAACCGAAAATTTGATATTTTTGCATATAGGATTAGTACATTCATAAGTAACGATTTCAGCCACTTCATGAGAACCATCAACCTTATCGGTAGAAGTCGATTTTTCTCTTGCTGACTTTTTGCAGTTGCTACAAGCAAGGTAATACCAACGTATGTTTTGACGTATTCCCTTAACAGTACCAACAATAATCACCATTTTTTCCTGGAAATTTAAATATTGTTCAATGTTAATAAATGTTATATTGTGAAAGTGTATGTTAGTTTCGTTCTAACAATATACTATTTTTTTGTTACAATTTTGAAAACTAAAAATAAAAGTGTATTAATGTAACAACTATAAAAATAATGTGAAGTACCTCTAAAGGTTCAATAACATCATCAATGTTTGAAAACAAATGATTTTTCAGAAAGTCATCGTGTTCTCTGTCTTGTTTTGATGCAATCATCTTGATTCCACATGATGAAAGTTGTTGATTGTTTTCAGAAACCAATCTATTCATTTATAACAAATACAGGAATTTTATTTATTATAGTATGAAAAAAAATTAGAAAATACAAAGGGAAGCTTAAAAAAAATACTTCTTTTGTAGCTTTTAATTTTATTGATATCATTGTTTATGAACAACCTACTAACATCAAAGTAGGTGGATGAAAAAGGACGACCTGCAAAAATAAAATTTATTATTAAATTATATATAGAATTTTAGTAAATGGTTGATGAAAGTAATTACAAACCATTAATAAACTTCATTCTGGTAAACTGAACAATAACAACAACTGGAGCAAGGCTATTATTGTTAGCAAGAAAATCAGACATGTAGTATGCATTCTGACCCCAAATAGTTACTTTAAGCTTAGTATCCCTGAAACAATAAAGAATATTGTAGAAAATATAAAATAATTTGTGCTATTTGTTTGTAATAATGTTGAATACTCTATATCTTGAAGATGCAACAACATTTTGTGTTGTGATTTATCTTGTTTAGAGGTATCCATACGACCATATTCAAAAATGTGTCCAATAATATCTACAAGAGCAAGAAAGTATAGGATTAAGTTAATAAAAATGATAAATTTGTAGTCCAAAGAAAGAAAGTAGGATGTTATATAATAAAAGTTCATATTAAATGAACTGACCAAAAGACTTTGCCTCCAGGATATTGTTCGAAATGATAGTATTGAAGTCAACAAAATCAAAGCCGTGTGCAGATCCAGAAAAGTTGTCACAATCTTTTACAGTTGTATTGTGGTTAAAGGTAAGTTTACTTTCCGGATGAACAAACTTAAATTTTGAAGTATTTGGTGCTACGTTAGGTTTCTTAACATATATTGAACTATCTTCTTTAAGATAGCTTTGGAATTTTGAAAACCATTTCTTCACACAAGATGCATGAATTTTGCTTCCCTAAAAAATAAACAAATAACAAACATCTAAATATAATGGCTTATGAATATTAATATTATTTTACAAAAATAATAATTGAATATATGCATCTTATACCTCCTCATCCATTAGAATCATTTCTATGGAGTATGTGTCGTTTGCATTAAATTTTGACTTTTGAGTTCAAAGACGTATGATCCGAACTTTAATTGTGAAATCGTCCTTGATTGAGCCAATTTCCTTTACAGGAGTTATATGTTCCATTGTACCTTGCAAATTAAAAAAAATTGTATAATTTAACAAAAAGTTACAAATATAAAAAGGAAAATCATAAAGCACCAATTGATTGATCTAGTTAATTGTTTTACTTGTAAACATATGTGTTAAAAACTTTTCAAATATACATAGCAGGGAAAAAATAAAAGATAAACTGAAGTATAAGCATATAAACATATTTATAGAAAAAATAAGGAAAATAGTATTTTTAAATAGTAAAATCGTTTTTAGTATAAGCACATTAACAGGTAAATAAATGGAATCAATTAGCACAAATAAAAAACTGTTATGTAAAGCACATATTGATTTATATATTTAACTAATTGTTTTACTTGTAGACATATTTATCAAAAACTTTTCTCTTATAGATAATAAGGAAAAAACAAAAGATAGAACTGATGAAATAGAAAAGTAGTGAAGTATAAGCACATAAACATATTTATAGAAAAAATAAGGAAAAAAGTATTTTTAAACAAAAAAATCGTTTTTAATATAAGCACATAAACAGGTAAATAAATGGAATCAATTAGCACAAATATACACTTGTTATGTAAAGCGTATATTGATTTATATATCTAACTAATTATTTTACTTGTAAACATATGTATCAAAAACTTTTCTGTTATACATAACAGGGAAAAGACGAAAGATAAAAATGATGAAACAGAAAAGTAATGAAGTATAAGCACATAAAAATATTTACAGAAAAAATAAGGAAAAGAGTATTTTTAAACAGAAAAATCGTTTTACTTATCTTAAAACTTGCAGAGAAGACTGCTGACCTCTTCTTTTCACATGATGTTAACATAATATTAAGATTCATTTTTTTTTTATAAAATATAACATGTGTTTCCTTTTTTTTACTTTAAAGAATCGATGTTTTTTTACTTGTGAATATGATTTTGCAATTTTTATCTTTTCGGTGCAAAAATACCAATGTATAAGACTGTTATACATAAGAGATCAAAAATAGAGTTAAAAGTGATGTTATACATAACATTTAAAAAAATAGAGGGAAAAGTAGTGAAAGTTGGTTGATGTTCATCGAAATAGTTAACATGATAATAAATCATAAATCAAGAATCTAAAGTGGGTTGAATTTGAAATGGTTAACATGATAATAAATCACAAATGAAGAATGAAAAGTAGGTTGAAAGCGAATAAGAATGTGGATGAAAAAAGAACATCTAAAAGGTAAAGAAGAGTGTAGTTTTGCTGACCTGATGATGAATATGTGAACTCTGAAATGTGAATTAACGATGAATATGTGACCTCTGAAATCGTATTGAATAAATCACGTTAACTAGAATCGTATTGACTTCTTAATTTGTATTTAAATATATCATTTATGCGTAAACTGATTGCCTGATTTTTAGGGATTAATACTATATGAAATTTAAATTGATTAGCTGATAATGGAATTTAAATTGATTAGCTGATTTTTTGGGATTCATACTATATAGAATTTTCGACAGAAATAAATCTAAAATTTCCTGATTTACTTCCTGATTTACATATTTACGTACTTAGTTATTCATGATTCACGTTTGCTGTTTTACAATATTTTTTCAAATAGAAGAGCAAAGTGAGAACTTCACTTATAATATATGAGCGGGAAAGGTAAGGTGGAGTGGTTAAGGGACTGCCAGGTGGTGTTTTTAGTACTGTTTTATTATAAGAGTATATATATATATATATATATATATATATATATATATATATATATATATATATATATATATATATATATATATATATATATAATTTTTGTATAAATTAAATATTGTTTTAATTGATGTGTCACAAATATTTTGGTGTTGACATAACATGAACATGTGATTCCAGAAATAAATCGATATCGATGGTGAGATTTCTACTTTTCTCCCCCACCCATTTTCAAATCATTTTTACTCCATCAGAGAAAACCCCCCATCGGAGCTACAAAATTCCAATTCCCACTTCCTTCCACCAAACACAAACCCCTCAATTTCACAAAAGAGAAAGAGGGGAAATTTTGTTTGAGAAAAGGACATCCCAAGAACAACCCCACAAATAATTTTACAAATTCTCCACTTTATTTTTTCAATTCCCCACTTCGGTTCTTGGGAGGATTCCAGGTTAATTTGTTTGCAGATTCTTCTCATTTTTTTAAAACCCGTTTCTGGGGTTTTTCCTTCTTTCAACAACTAAATTTCGTTTCAAATGAATTCCAGGAAGGATGAAATTTATTTTAAGAATCTACGATCGAAAAATGCTTTTGCGTTCGCCAATTTCATCTTGTTGACGAAAATTTTGATCTCTACTAATCTTGTTATTTAAGGTTTGACTAAATTTTCTTTTATTTTCGTGTTTTTGTTCTTGTTATGATCGTCATTTGATTTCGAAGAGTTGGAATCTATGTGATTTAGGCATTGAGTAGGACTATGATGGAGATGAATAGGGTTTAATGATCTTGTTAGATCTGTATATGATTTGTTCTAATTGAGTTTTTATATTTTTTTAGATGGAAGAAGGAAGTGAGTCAACGAGATACTGGTGTCATGTATGCAACAGACTGGTTGAAACGTTCAGGGAGGCTGAGACGATCAAATGTTCGTCATGTAACGGCGGATTCGTGGAGGAACATGATAGCGTAAGGGCTGATGATCACAACCACCAACACCAACTCGCCGGAGATTCGGAATCTGACCGTGCTATGTCATTGTGGGCTCCAATTTTGCTTGGAATGATGAGTAACCCTCGCCGGCGACGCAGGTTCAGACAAATTGATAACAACGAGGAAAACGATGAGAATGAAGATCATAACGAGTCCGAAGAACGCTACCGTCGTTACCACCGTGAAGGCGGAGAGTCGGAATTGGACAGGGAGTTGGAGTCTATTATGAGAAGGCGGCGGCGAAGCTCCGCCGCTATCGTTCAACTCCTTCAAGGGATTCGCGCCGGAATGATAACGCAATCGGAGAATAGCGCTGATAGGGAGGGCGGAGAAAGTAACAGAGATCGAGATCGTGTTATTTTGATTAATCCGTTTAGTAACACAATCATTGTCCAGGGTGGTGGCGGTGGTGCAAATTCATTTGACTCCTCCGGCGTCGGCGGCCCACAGAACCACCCAATCGGATCCCTAGGCGATTACTTTGTGGGCCCCGGACTGGAATTACTCCTCCAGCATCTCGCGGAGAATGATCCAAACCGGTACGGAACACCACCGGCCAAAAAAGAAGCAGTGGAGGCCATGCCGATAGTGAAAATCCAGGAAGATTCCGTTCAATGTTCAGTTTGTTTGGAAGATTTCCAGATCGGAGATGAAGCAAAAGAGATGCCATGTAAACACAGGTTTCACGGCGACTGTATCCTGCCATGGCTAGACCTTCACAGTTCATGTCCAGTTTGCAGGTATCAGTTACCTTCCGATGAATCCAAACTCGAACGAGACCGGGAAGCTTCCCGTGCTATCACTGTCAACACCAACGTGATCGCCGGAGAATCTGAGATCGCCGGAGAAGACGGTTCCGGTTCCTCCCGGCGACTTTCTGTAACTCTCCCTTGGCCTTTCAACAGCCTTTTCTCATCAACATCAACTTCAGGCACTCAAATCACAAACCCTCGTTTGATAATGGACACAGGGTCGTCGGACTCAGGGTCGGGTCCGCCGGAGAGCGGAGGTGGTCGGAGGGATGATGATAATCAATGAACCCGCAGCTCAGCTGTAAGTTTTCCTTCATGTTGTGTATACGCCGTCGTTACAGAAACGTGTACAGAGATCGGATATTATATTGTTTAATATTGACAGAGGAGTATATCGTGTTTCTGTCTTCTTTTATGTAAACCTAATTATGAAGGATTGTTCACGCCTTCTTCAAAATTTTTTTCCAACATTACCTCTGGAGCTTAGCTTCTTAAAATACATTTCAATCATGTGCCATAGATAGATATCAAAAAAAAAAAAAAAAGCAAAGTAATAGAATGAACCATTCATTATTCCATTATATATCAACACAAATTTAATGCAAAAATTAGTTTTGATTATACTAAGCACATAGCAATTAGCAACAAAACATGATTGAACCGAGTTGACTCGGTGAAAAACAAGCACGAAATGATTTATTACTTGAAGAAAACGATTTGGAAATAACGATGGAGATGCGCGTGAGAGGAATCACTTTCACTTTCACTTGACATAGATAATCTTGATGACGGATGCAGTTCCAACTCGGTGTAAAGCAACAACCGCATCTCCCTCCTTGCAAAGGCCTTTACTCTTAGCATGTTGCAATCCAAACTCCAATGCTTCTTCAGTTGATTCCATATTAGAAGCTTTAGCGGACCCCGGGGGACACAAAACCGGAACCAAACCCCGGAAAATAAAACTATGTCTCACTGGAGCTTCATCGCTAGGCGACACTCCACCACCTGAATCAGACTTCCCCTCTGGAACCACCACCGATAGAATAGGAATCTGAGGCCGGTACTTGGACACCAGCTTCGCGGTGGTGCCGCCTCTAGTCAACACCAAAATCATTCTAGCATGTGATGCGTTGGCGGTTTGAACCGCGGAGGATGCCAGGCTTTCAAGCGGGCTCATAGGTACGGGTGCGGTTGCAGTGATCTTTTTGAAAAGGAGCGGGTAATCGATTGTGTTTTCAGCTTCCATGCAAATCTTAGCCATGGTGGCAACCGCTATGTCGGGGTAGGCCCCGGCGGCGGTTTCACCGCTCAGCATGACACAGTCTGTGCCGTCGAGGACCGCGTTGGCCACGTCTGTGGCCTCTGCTCGAGTCGGCCTTGGGGATTTGATCATGGACTCGAGCATTTGAGTCGCGGTTACCACAGGCTTTCCTTTTACGTTGCATTTGTAAATCATGGTTTTTTGTGCCAAGAATATTTTCTCGATTGGGATCTCCATTCCGAGGTCACCACGAGCCACCATGAATGCATCGGTGTTGGCTAGGATTTCATCGAAATTGGAAACGCCTTCTTGATTCTCAACCTAAAAAATATAAATCATAGTTTTCATGATTATGAACAAATGTAAATCAGATATATGATATGAAATTAGTGAGAGATGGAATAAAGAAAACGTACCTTTGACATAAGGACGATGTTTTTAGCATGTTCACCAAGCACTTTGCGAACCTCAACAAGATCTGAGCCTTTGCGGACGAAAGATAAAGCAATCAGATTAATGTTATTAGGAACACCCCATTTGAGAAGATCTTCCTTGTCTTTTTCTGTCAAAGTTGGGAGATCAACAATGACACCTGGAAGATTAACATTCTTTCTCTCACCAAGAGTCCAGGTGTTCTCACAGCGACAACGAACCAATCCCTTTTCAGTATCACAGGAAAGAACAGTAAACGTAATGGTGCCATCTGAACAGAGAATCGTGCCTCCTGGTTTCAAATCATGAGCCAACTTTTTGTAACTCATGCATATCATATTCTCGTCACCTACAATCGAGTAATCGGTGGAGATTGTGATCTCTTGACCTTGCGTCACTTGGATCGGCTTCCCATCTTTCAGAAACCCGGTTCGAATTTCTGGACCCTAATTTATCCATCGGAAACAAAATCAACAGTTTCTATGCTTAGTTATACCAAAATTCAATCAAAATGGATACGATTCATTTCTTCCGTCTCGTATGACGTTAACAAAACGAAAATGTTAATTGATCAAAACAGATAACATATATACGTGATCTGCATCACATTCATGTATAGAGATAGAAAGAGCGATGATATTGATAGGTAGTGAAGAAGGAAACGTACTTTGGTATCGAGCATGACTGCACATTGAATACCGGTGTTCTCCATGGCCTTACGGAGATTCTCGAGGGTTTCCTGATGGTACTCGTAAGATCCATGAGAGAAATTGAAGCGAGCGACATTCATACCTGCCTTGAGAAGCTTTTCAACCATTGGAATCGACCTTGAAGCGGGTCCCAAAGTGCAGACGATCTTCGTTCTGGGCCTCTTCCAACCTACTTCTGGTTGGGTCTGAGCAGTGGTGATGTATTCCATTTTTGTCTCCGATGAAGAACAGTATTCCGATCAATTGATCGGATGAAGAGTGTGGTGATGAATTTATGTGAATTCAAGAGCAAATGGAAGTTGGGGAATTGTCAAGAGTAGGAAATAGGAAGGTGTTTGCAGAATTTGTGGATCAACGAAATGAGAGGGATGCACAACTGAATTGGAAAACTGGCATGAGAAGCGGGGGTTTGGTCTTTAGGGAGTTTTCACAAAAAATGTGCAAACTTTTAAACTATATTCCGAATATGGTGCTGTTTATTTTTTTACAGAAAGTTTCAATATTTTCCCATTTTAGGAGGCGAAATCAACATTTATGCTATTATGCTTTTTTACTTCTTGTCCTTTCTTTTTTAAACTCTTGTCACATTTTACACTTTATATGTTGTTTAGTATTTAAATATTATAGCTATCTATTAAAGTGGTCATATTTGGGGCCGATATACCTAGATAGTCAATTTTTATCACAAAACAACCATTATAATTGTGAAAAAAGCTAGTGAATACGCAAATATGTTTCTCATTTCCTGATAAACGAGCTCATATAAAGACATATCTAACCCAAGATCATATTTTTTTACGTTAATACCTTTTTTAGAATAAACTTTCTTGTGATGTAACTCTAACTCAACACAATTTTCTGCTATCAAATTCAGTATTATAAATAATATAACACCTAACTTGGTGTTACATTATTTGTCTGACACCAAATTTGATGTTAAAGTTATGTTACGTGTGGTTTTTTAATTTGAGTTTCTGTTTTGTTCTGAAAAAAGTTTGAGTTTATGCATAATTAATTTATTTTTGTTATTTGTTTATATTTTAAATGTAATAATTATTTTAAATAAGTTTACAATTTTAAATATTTTTTGTTGGGGTTGGAAAACTTTTCTATTAAACACAAAAATAGAATTACAATAGAATGAGCAACCCTCACACTTAACTATTACAAATAACCAATCCACTTTCACTAACACTCACACTCTAAATGTTATACTTCAACTCTATGAGTTTTGGGATGCTTTACAACTGAACATGAAACCTTTATTTATACTTGTGACAACCACCATTTCCCTATTATCCATGTAATGTGTTCATCATAGAGTATGAAGAAAATTTTGCCATCCTAGGAAGAAAATGATTTCATAAAAATGGTAGGCTTCTAGATGGAGGCACAAAGTCAACAAATCCCCCCTCCAGTCTCCATCCAACAATGTTTCTCTTGTGTCACTACCTTGGTCAACATATCTACAGGTTTGTCATTGGTGTTAATCTTTAACAATTTCAATTCTTGTCCGTCGATTGCTTCTCTGAGCCGGTAATAACAGATATCAATGTGTTTTGTGCAAGAATGGTACATTGAGTTCTTGATCAAGTCCATAACACTCTAACTATTGCAATGAATGATGTACTCATCTTGTGGAAAACCTAATTCTTGAAGAAATCATTTTATCCATATAAACTCCATCCAAGCTTCAACGACATCAATGTACTCAGCTTCTGTTGTTGACAGCGCTACATACTTTTGTAACTTGGATTGCCACGAGATAGCTCCCCTTGCCAAAGTGAAAAAGTAACTTGATGTAGAATTGTAGATTTCCTATTATCAAGATCTCGTGTCATCTTAGCATCTGCATAACCTTTCACAATTGTTTTTTCTCTCCCGTAGCATAAACATAGTTTTGAACTAGCCTTCGGGTATCAAAGTATCCACTTGACTGCTTCCCAATGTTGCTTTCTCGGATTAACTACATATCTACTTAAAACATTTAACACCTATTATTCAAGTATTCGTTTTAATCCATGAGTTGTGGCTTTATTGTTCAAGTTTATCCCCGGTGGCAATTTTGTAATTTTTGGAGTTAGTTGGAGTACGCAGGGAGTATACCTTCGTATGCAGGGCGTATACCAGATTGCATTAGTATGTTGTGCGTACGCTGATACGTTGGGCGTACGCAACCAGGGTGTAAACCCTAAATTTTAGAATTTGGACCCTATTTAAACACATTTATAGCCACATATACCTTCTTATCTTCAGCCTCTTTCTCCATTTCGAAACCCTAAAGAGTGTTTGTGCATTGTGAAGCTTGTTGAGCCATTTTTGGTCCTATTTGGAGCTTTTGGAGTAGAAGGAAGAGCATTGAGATGGTGGTGTAACGACCCGTCTCTGGTATGTGGTTTTTAGTATTTATTTTTGAAGTTCGTAGAGGAACTCGGCGAGTCTATGTCCCGACTCGTCGAGTAGGGTCGCGTTGTTGATCAGCGTATAGATCGGTGACTCGGCGAGTCCATATTCGGGACTCGGCGAGTCGGCCTGCCAGGTTGAAACCCTAAATCTCCGGGTTTGCTCACTATTTAATCCACCTTATAGCCCCATTCTCGCCTCCTTCACCCTCAGAACGCTGTGAGAAAACCCTAATCCATCCTTGAGTGAACTAAGTGTTCTTGTGTTGATTTGTGAAGGCTTGAAGAAGGAGAAGAAGAAAGGAGCAAGGAGAAGAGGAGTAGTGCAAAGATCCAAGGGCAAATCAGAGTTCTTTGAGGTATTCTTCGGATTCCCTCTTGTTTTATGCTTTAAACCTCCATTAGGACTCTTCTAGATCTAGTTGATGCTTTTCCCAAGCCTTATGATTGTATGGATGCCCTAATAAGTCGAGATATCCTTAGATCTATTCATTTAGAAGTTTCAGAGCCCAGATCTATTGCCTTTATGAAGATACTTTGCATGGAAACCCTAGATCTAGCCTTTATTATGCTTTTTGAGCCATTTTATCTTCATGAATGCATATGGGCACGTAAAGATAGAATCTTTACGTGCTAATCGAGTTAAGGGAGTCCAGATCTATAAGTTTTATGCACTGGATTCAAGCAGAATCAAGTTTTGAGTTGCTGCATGCAAGCGACTCGGCGAGTCGAGCCGCGAGTCCCCGATTTTTCCATTTTTGAGTGATGCCGAGTGGGACCAGTGAGTGATGGAGTGGACTCAGCGAGTTATGGTTAGACTCAGTAATGGAGGGACTCGGCGAGTTGTTCATACAACTCGGCGAGTCCAAGGCAATCTTCTTAGCTCGAAGAACAACTCGTCGAGTTGTTCATACGGCTCGGCGAGTCTGATGCAGATTGCCTGAAGTTTTAGGTTCGAAAGGGAACCCGTCGAGTTGATGCCATACTCGACAAGTAGCAGCAAGTAGGGTTGAGAAATGAAAGTAGGGACTCGGCGAGTTGGCGGCCCAACTCGGCGAGTCAGGTCAACTGTAAAGTTGACTTTGACCAGGAGAGTTGACTTTAGCCAGGGGTAAAGGAGTCATTTACCCCAATATAGTTATTAATAATTTGATTGAGTGTAATTGTGGATTTGTAGCCGGGGAGATACCGGAGCAGCAGCAGATAGTTCCCGGAGCCACACACTCAGCAGCCAGATCACGAGGTGAGTTTCCTTTCAGTAGGAACGGGTCTAAGGCCACAATGCCGGCCCGTTTAGCTAGCAGTAGTATCCGGACTTCGGTTCGATGCAGATTCTAGTATGTTTGATGCCTTCGTGGCTCAGACAGTATTTTGTGTTATGTGTTCCGGGTTACATCCCGATGTAGTATGCTATCTATGTACTCATGTTAGTTGATATGCTTATGTGATGCTATGTTCAGTATGTTCCGGACTTCTGTCCGATGCAGTCAGTTCCGGACTTCGGTCCGATGCAGTAGTTCCGGACTTTGGTCCGATGCAGGAGGCAAGGCCTCAGTAGTTCCGGATCCCGATCCGATGCAGAGGGCAAGGCCCTGGTTAGTTCCGGACTTTGGTCCGATGCAATTTCCGGACTTCGGTCCGATGCAGTGGGCAAGGCCCAGTATGTGATTATATGTATTATATGGTATGTGGTAGTTTAGGGGAGCTCACTAAGCTTCGTGCTTACAGTGTCAGTTTTTGTTTCAGGTACTTCCGCAAGCAAAGGGAAGAGCTCGGGTTGATGGCATCGCACATACACACCACAACTTCAGTTGTCCTGGGAGTTGTTTTGATTCTCATAGATGTGACTGATATATTCTTGATTCAGTTTACTCATAACACTTTACTTTTGTTTGTGAGATATTGACGTACGAGTTTACCTTATGATTTTATTATGATGTTTTAGTAATTATTCAACAAAAAATTTTGGGTCGTTTTTTTTGGGATGTTACAAGTTGGTATCAGAGCCTTGGTTTGAGGGATTCGGATACACCCTCGGGTGTATCTGAACTCAAACTAAGGGAAAGATAAAAATATTTTCAAAAAGAAAAAAATGTTTTCGAATGAAATTTTGAAAAGGCACTTAGAAAGAAAAGAATTTTAAACAAGATAAGGGTGTGGTGCATGCGATCAGCCGAGCTCAAGTAAGTACTCCCAAATTACCCATACAACTTTTATAATTATGAATAATTGTTCCAGTTTCAGTAGAACAGCATGCTAGTATAGGACTAAGGATCTAGGAGGATGCCTTATGTACCTGCTATATGTGTTTAGCTTTATGAGAATTGCATGCTAGTAACGAGTAGACAGCAGTAGGATAGCCTGTTTAGGTTATGCCTATGTCTGGTAGCGCGAGCTTAGCATTGTATGCTAGATCGGTTTCTCGTTATGAGAGTAGGATTGCTTGGGTAATTTCCAGTGTCCGAATGCTGCTTGCTTCGTGCTTTGTAGAACTCTTAGTAATGAGAGTTAGCCATTAGGTGAATACGTCACGTCACAAGTGATCAGGGTTGAATAATCTCAGAGTGTTGGATTTGGCCCTATTGCGCAGCTCTCGTTTGAGTCTAACCGTTGTAGGGACGAGCCTTTTACTCGAAGGATTATCCGAGCCTCATCACATGTGATGGTATTCAGGTGATGGCTAATTAGCATTACAAGGAGGCCTTCAGCAGCTGAGGATTGTTTTGAGCAGAGTCAAGATTTCCCTAGGGCAAGCCTAGGATGAGAGTAGCAGAGATCAGCAGTAGTAGAAGTGACTTGGTGGAGTC